GCCACGCCCAAAAGCTTGGACTTTCTTCTTCGCGAGCTTGTGTAACATACGTCAGCGGGTCTTGTGGGCTCTCCAAGAGGAAAGCTGTTCTCACTCGATGACGTTCACGACATTCTTCAGACCTTATGAACAGGCCAACTTGTTTCAGCAGCAGTGCCGCATCTGAATCAGCCAAGTTCTTCTCCCGGTCTGTCAATCCCGGTAGACCATACCGGTCATGGAAACGTCCACGCAACGGTCTTGGTCCCGGTTGTTTCTGCCTCAATCGGCTGACCGTCCGACAGGGAGGTCCCTCCATGATAGCAAGAAGTTTTCCCAGGCTTGCAAGTTTTCCAGGATTGTGTAGATCTTGATTTCGACCTTCAGTGATATCCAAAGTAATGACTTCAATCCCATTGATGGGATTCCTTCGCCATTCCTTCGCCTTTTCCCCGGCAAAGAGGTGGACTATAACCCCTTTTGAGGTGAGCAGCCTCCTTCTTTTGTGCCGGTTCCATGGCAAATCATGGTTCATTTGTGGATCTTCTTCATCTTGACCCTTCATGTAATTCCAGATTCTTTCCGGTGTTTCTGGAAATCGTGATCCCCACCACTTCTTGGTCTTCTCCGCGGGCTCTTCCAATGTGTGCCGATGGTTGGTCCTCTTTTCCATTTCCATGTGCTCAATCTCAGTGATCAGAGCCAGAGCGTGGTCCTTTCGAACCACAGGACATCCAGACCTTAACCAACATTCTATGTTTCCCAGTCGTGGATGCTTCACAACACATCCTGCACGGGACCAAGTGATGGTGTATCCCAATTCCACCAAACCTCGAAGAGGCACAATTTTTTCCACCGGTCCCTTCGACACGAGGGTTCCATTCACAGGGTTCTGATAGAGCTGAGTAGCTCCATGCGCGAGCTCCACAGTGACCTGCACCGCGTTCTTGATCTCCTCGGCTGATCCCTGTCTCAAGGGGTGTGTCGCCCCACCATCCAATAAACCTGTTCCATCATCAAATTCAACTTCGAGATGATCCCCACCATGCCCCACCGATTTCAAGACCGGTCCATTGAGACCCTTCAAAAGGTTGGTCACTTCTCCTACAACCTTATCGGTCTTCTCTGGTACAGGGGTGATAGTGACTGTGGATTCACCCATCGGGTTGATCTTCACGACAGGTTCCGGACGTTCTTGAGCAGCACCTCCTTCTTTTCCAGGACCATTCTTCCTCTCTTGAGATCTTGAGCGGATTCTAGTGGTTTTGGCCACCTTTGGTCCTTCAGACCCACCTTGTGGACCTCGTGACTCAGTTCGTTTTCCCGCCGGACAATCACGTCGGGAGTGTCCTTTTCCAGAACAGTTGAAGCATCGGCCATCCTTGGAGTCCAAAACGGTGTGCATAAACCGGCATCGTTCCGCATATTGGCATCCCTTCTCAGCCAGCCAGTTGACGCACGCCACCTTGTGGACCACATTAGCAGCGTTAATCGGCAGCTCAGGCTTCTCCCCCCTCCTTCCAGTGGAAGAACCTGCTGCGTCTTCTGATTTTCCCTTCGAAGTTCCCTTTGGTGGATTTCCAGATGAATCCGGTCCACTCATAGACTTCACCCCCACTGCATTGTTGGGCTTAGTCGTTGGACCCGGTGTTGTGTTCCCCGGTTGTCGGAGAGCCATTTCACCAGCTTCCGCTTGAAGCAGTTCAGAAAACGTTCGGATCTCTTGCATTCCCGGCCGGAGATCTATGCCCAAATGCTGTCTCACCGAAGACAACCGGTAGGCAGCTTGAGCTCCCCCCAACCTGGCTAATGCATCACTCATTTTTGCGACCACTCCGGCCAAAACCAGAGGATCGGGCAAAACCAATTGAAGTTCTTCGGCACGAACCACCCACCTTCTCCACCTCCGGATGGAGTTGACCATCTCTGCAGCATTATTGGATGGACATTTCCAGTCCACCAACATTTGCAGCAGGGAAGTTCTTTCCACTTGTCCTCCAGGTTGGAAGATGGTGTGCAGCTTGAACATGGCTTGACCTGCCGACAATTGTCGGTTCGCCACGATGTCTTCGTAGATGTCCTTCGGGACGGCTTGAAGCAGCATGCCCACCACTCGGTTCTCTGTGCGGGGCCACCCACGGGCCATGTCAGGTATCACAGGCGCCATCCGGAGCTTCATAAGTGGATCCGCTTGCAACCAGTGATGATATGCCTGTTCCACAGCAGTCATAACTACCCCCCACCACTGCGCCGAGGTGTAGCTCACATCCCCGATCATCTGCTGGACAACTGCCAGCCAGTCTCCAAAGTCCAAAGATGTTGCATTTCTGTCCAGCTTTGGCAATTCGACCGATCTTAAAGTTTCGCCTGGTACTTCTCCCCCTGCCTGAGGTCCTGCTTGGACTGCAACTTGTTGTTGTTGTGGCGGTACGGCTTGTCCCGGGTTTCCTTGATGACCACCTGGCTGACCTGGATTTCCTTGATGACCACCCGGCGGACCAGGTGCTTGTCCCGAATTTCCATACGGCCCTGGTGGTGGACCCCTTGGCCAACCATAACCCCCCATAGGTCCGGTGTTTCCTCCTGGAAATGCAATACCTCCTTGAGGTCGTTGATCTCGTCCTGCAGGTGCTCCTACAACTTGGGCTTAAGGATTATGCCATTGATTGGGTTGGTCACCCATGAAACAGGGTCTTATGTTTTCCATGGCTCCCATGCAAGGAGCTCGCATCGGTGGTCTTGGCGCCGCTCCCTGCGGCATTCCATTCATCCACCCTTGATTCATGTACACATCCATCGGCCGAAAACCTTGTTCGACCTTGGGCGCAGGAGGCACATTCCACAACGGACCTCCCGCCTTCATTTGAAGATCTTGATCATGGTGATGTTGAACTCCCGGAACTGGTTGATCTAGCAAATGTTGTCCTTGGGGTGGAACACCTTGAGATGGCCCCACAGGAAAACACTGCCCGATGTTCTGCTCCGGAGAGGCGGTTTTATAAGACCCCCCACTTGACTGAGAGCCCTTGTGACCTCCTCCTGTTTCTTGGGCCCTTTCCAGGGTTTGTTTCTCTTCCAGCGTGGCTAACCAATTTTCTCGATCTTGTTGGATCTCGGTCTTGCCCCGCTGAAAGACTTCCATCACATGCTGTTTCAACTCTTCATATTTTTTCTTCTCCCTCGCATCAGCCCGATCAATCAGGTCTTGCGATACTGTGGGATAAGTCAACTCCTTCACTGGAGTTTGTGGGCTGCTCATTAGAGCTTCCACTCGCTTTGCAGCACTCCATGGATTTGTTTCTTCTGCAGCCATGACCCCGGTTACCATCCCAGGATCCACAACCGCCGTTCCCCACTGAGGCACCATTCCCGTAGGTGGCACTCCAGCACACATGGATTGCTGGGACATCCCAGCTACCTGTGAACCCTGTGCCCCACCAGTTGCGGTGTACACCACAGGTGGTCCCATTGGCTGGTAGCTCACAGGTGGACCTGTTGGCGCCGCTGGCACCACTTGTTTGATACGTGCATCTTCAGGAGATTCAACAGGTGAACGTCCCGGTCTCTCCAAAAGAGCAACGGTTCAGTTGAGCCTTGGTGTTCTCCACCCTGTCCTTCTTCTCGAGTACCCACAACAGGTGGTCCACGAAATCCCTCAGACATCCGGGCAACTACTGGTGGTTGTGTCATCGGCACTCCCGAAAGAGTCAGACTATTCACACCTGGGGTCAAACCAGACAACAGACCGCCATTCCCCTTTCCTCGTACCACTTCAAGTCCAGGAGGTTCTTCAGGTGGTAAGGACACTGGTCTTGCGACTTCTTCCGCAACAGCCGGATTCTGGGCAATTTGTTTGCCCGCTCCAGCTCGGACCGCCGCAACCTGCACTAGGGCTCCACTTCCCCCAGCACCGGTTAGCGCCATCCCACTTTCTCCAACTCCCTTTCCCATCAGTGATCTTCGGGTCGAGTCTGATGATCTTGTCCCCGTTTTTTCCCCATGTTCTTGTCCAGGTGTGTCCATCTCCTCCAGAAGCCGATCCAGCATTTGGTCTGCCGTTTCCTCGCGTTCTCCTTTTCCATGGGTCCCATGTTGTACTTCTTCAGCATGAGCAGCCGCTTGAACTTGGCGTTCTTGTCGACGACGCTGAGTGAAGTCGCTGCTCGACATGGCTTCAAGGCAGCGTTTGGGTTGGGCTCATAACCCACGGGTTCTACAGTACCAAGTCCCTTCCCGGAGGTCCCCAACAAGAGGCAGATGCGGGTGCACCTTTTCACTCCAAGTTGGGCTCGGTATTGAGCCAGTCAGTTGATTGGCCCTTGAGCCAATTGAATGGCTTGAACCAGTTGCAACAGTCGGAGGACGTCTCAACGACTGTGAAAAACTTTAAAAAGACCTTAGTCGGGGTGCAGTGGTACTCTGTGCTGTTTTTTCCCAACCGCAGTTTTTAACAAAAATAGGAGATGGGTCTGATTTTTTTCCCGGTCCATCGAATAGGAGGGAACATGACGATTAATGATGATGAGACATGAAACTTTCAAAGAAACCCACGTGTTTTAGGCAGATGGCCAATTGTGGAACCGATTCTGATGCATCAACAGCAGGCACAATATGTTTGGTCAAAAATGTGGGCCTTCCGTTTGTGCGCATTCAAAATCCAGAAGCATAAAAGGCAGGCAACTTGCACAATCACACCCTAGATGAACAGAGAATCTCTAGCTCTAGGTGCAGATTTGTTTCTTTGGATCCTGAGAAACAGTCTTATGCCGAGGTGGCAAAGTCTCCAGAGTGGAGTTGTTGAACTTTTGAGAGCTGATAGGAATTTGAGAGCTCTGACAGCACATGGGTTTGTCCATTTACAAAATCCCTCAAATTCATTGATTAATCATTGATTCAAAAGTATTCAAAAGTGCCATTTGGGACATATACCCCCATTTTCAGACACCAAGATAGAAACGTTTGCATTTGCAAACGCTCACCGCGCGCTGCAAAACAACGCGCCGTTCCCTCGCGCTACCAAGGCTTCACTTTGCGAAGTCGAAAGGCAGTCGAGTGAAGCCAGTCAGCACCTTAGGCCGCGCCAGAACGACATCTCTGCGGCGTGGAAAATGGAAAGACTCTTACTCGCAACAGTGTCATCAAACATGAGGAGCTGACAAATCCCCATGTCAAATGGAGTTTGAATATGTTTGAAGGGGAAAATCAAAGTATTGCTGGGGACATCTCCAGCCATGGAGCTGATGACACTGGGGATCCCCTGCGTCATTTTGATGTCAAGGTGATGATGGAGACCTGCTCATCTGCACAGAAACTTGCAGAACGAGCAGCCTATGACCTCAAGGCCACGCAGCCACTGTGATGACTGATGGTCCTGAAACTTTTTCTCTGAAGGGTGAGTCCAGGGTCCAAGAGTGTCTTCTGGTGACATTTCTTGAGGTCAGAAGTGACCTGGTAGGCTGCCAGAGAGTGCATTCTGCCGGGGGCCGTAGGGGCAGTTGTTTGGAAGGCAGTTGAAACCCAATAGCTGGGAATGGTTCAACGAAGCAGTACCAAGTACTTTGACATGACATATCTTGATATCCAAATATGGTATGACAGTAGACCATCATAATCCATCATATATGAAAAAAAATATATTATATATAGATTTGTCAGATAACCTATATATATATATTTAAAACAGCTTTAGAGAACACCTTTTTTTCCCGAAGCTCGTCCAGGTGGAACACCCGAGGCCGTGAAGGAATCCTTTTCCTCGCCAAAATGTGAAATCAGGGGAGGTTTGCCTCCAAACTTAGATTTTTTCAGATATATTTCAGAAAATTATCAGAAAAGAACAACATTTTTTTTTCAGAAATTCATCGTATTTACCGGGAATTATTGATTTTAAGGCTGCAGGGGATGCTCCCCAAGATTTTTAGGAAAAACAGCAAATGTTGCAAATGTATTCCTTGTTTTTCGTCCTTTTCCTTGCCATAATGCGGAAAAAAATGAGGTTTTTGTCCAAAATCATATTTTTGCTGAAATATTTCAGAAAAAACAACAAAAAACAGGAAACCAAATAGTTTTGTCAGATTTTTTTCGTGTTTTTTCGATAATCTTTTTTCAGGCGCGTGTTTGAATCAGAAATAATTCAGGAAATTGAATATTTCCAGGATTTGGCGTTATGGCTGAGGAGGCTGAGGAGGGTTTTTACTAGTATAGATGATCATGGAATCTCTGACTTGTTGTTCAATGGCGCGTTTCCCAGTGCTCCATACCGCGGTAGATTAGATGCTAGTGCATATGAATGCCAAACAGAATTTCACGATAATGTCAAATGCTTCGCTGGATGTGCCAAGGCGCATCCCATGGTGTTTCCCAAGGGGTTAAGCAGTTCTCGGAGGAAATTGAAGACATAATTACTTTATATCACTTTGCAAGACAGACAGACTGCAATTGTTTTTTGTTTTTTGGTGACCCAAAGTTGAAATGGGGAATTGCTTTCAGAGTCCAATGGATCCAAACATTCAACGCTTCGTCGCATGGCGTTGGCGCCAGGTTATTAAGAAATCCGAGATGGAGATTAGCGGTGATGGCCTCTCGTGCACTGTGACTAAGCAGCACCAAACTTGAAATGTTTTGATGGACTGTACAGGCTGTGCGGCTGTACCCAAATATTTCTTTGAAGACTGCATTGAGCATAGAAGAAAGCAAAGTCGTTAAAGGTGTTGTATTCGTTTTGCTCTTACCAAATATTACCGAACTGTGCCCTGAATTCTCATGCACTTCGAAAATGCCTGGCTTTCCAGTCTGCTTCCAGTCTGTTGCAGGTGCAGCTTCTGCGCGCAGATGTAGCTTTCTCGGACCTTGGCGCTGGATTTGCGGAGGAGAGCTGGGTCCCCTGGCTGCCAGCCTTCCCGGCTTTCCTGTTGTGCCAGGACCTTGCCATTGTGGCATTAGTTCCTACGGGTGAAAAGGCGCCCAAAGGGTGTTTGACACGGGCTTGTGGAAACCACCGTTCTGATGGATTCAAGTTTAGAGTTTGTCTCTAGTCTTACAATGTCTTACAGATATGCAGAGTTTGAAAGGCAAACAGACAAGGATGAACTAAGCAGGGTAGTCGAAGCAATGTCTGACCGAAGCAGCACCTGTCATTTTGTGATCAGGGGCCGGAATGGTGCTCATTAGTCGAGAGGCCACAGCTAGTTTTGTTTTGGATTTTTGCCAGTGAAGCATCCTGCAGCATCGCTCGTACAGGGTCAACTCGAGAGCACATGGGCTCTGCGAGTTTCACCTCTGGGAACACTGACCTTCCAGGCAAAGAAAATCTGCAGAAGGAGTGGAAGGTTGGGTATTTACGTGCTGGATTCTCAGTGCGCCAGTCTATCCATGCACCTCTGTTGAATGCGAAACTTTCGGAGGACCCTGAATTTGAAAGCATTGAAAGCATGGAAAGCCTTGAAACTACTTGAAACTGTTCGCAGCCTTAGCACTTTGGCTCAACAGAGACCACCCAGCCAAGACTTCCGCTGTCGTGCCCATGGCTCAACGTCCTGTGCTGTTCGTGCTGTTGGCGGCCGCCTGCCTGTGGCTCTTCTCCAGCTCCAGCAGCTCCAGCAGCTCCAGCTCTGAGGTCTTCCTCAGCCCGGTGAGCCCAACGGGCGCAACCCTCCGAGGCGCCTTCACCGGCAACACGCTGGACACGGAGATCTCCCTGGAGTCGCCTGTGGTGTTGAAGGCATTGCCTGAGCCTCGACCCAATGATGCCATGCTGCCAGTGGAGTTGAACCGAACCTCCTTGTACTGGGGTCTCTTGCTGATTTGCATCCTCTCGGTGCTGTTCTCCAGCTACTTCTTCAACTGAGTACCGGGAGAATCAGAAGTCTTTTTGAGCACAAGTGCTTTTCAGCAGTTTATGCAAGTGCAGACTGCACAGACAGGAGATGGCAATTTGATTTCAAAAGGAAATGCTGAAGAGCTGCGTGCACCAAAGCTTTCCTAACCACGTCCTTCTGGGCAGTCCGCTTCTTGAAAGCCAATGCTGTCAGGTCCCCAGTGCGATGTGTCCGGCTTCTTGGACAAGATAGGTTACGCAGGTGGGATTCGTTCAGGCCGGAGATGTTTGTTGCTCAGATCTGTTGAGTGGTAGCAGCTTATGCTGCAGCAGCTTCACAATGTGGCAAAGTTTGTTCCGTGTTGCCATGGAAGGCCTTATGAAAAAGTACCACATCAACCTGCAGGTGGGATGCCTGGATCGGTAGGTGAAGGGTAAGGCGATGTTTTTGGGTCCACAGAGAAAGGCAGCGATGACAGCTACAGCAGCCGTCAGCTTGCACAGGGTAAACAAGGCCTTGGTGCCTTTGGCTTTGTTGTGGGGACCCTCAGATGCCAAAGATGCCAAGTCTAAGCTTCAAATAGCTTCTACGGCCTACATGTTTGGGACATCTTTTGGAACATCTGGGGCTGAAAATGCCAGCGCTTTTGCCATTTCCCAGGTTTTGGATGGTTTTGGATGGTCTCTAAATACCAAACTGAACTTTGGGGTGTTCTGCAGCCTCGTGGAGCATTCTCGCAAAGATTTCATTGCGAAGCCACGCGGAACTCGCTCTGAGGCATGCGCAGTGGAGATCAGGACGGACAAAATTGTGGCCGTGAAAAACTTGAAACTGCAGGTACGCGATGGTACGCGATGGTACGCGGCAGATCGTTTCCATTTCACAGTTTTTGGGCGTTTCAAGTCTTCCGGGGTAGGCGACTGCCAAAGGGTCACGACTTGCAGTTCTTTGCAGGTCAATCCTGTCTCCATTTTCAAAGAGGCGGATTTGGGAATGGGTGACAGTGGTGTTTTGTTGAACTCTGCACAGGTCTGAGTGGTCTGAGTGGTCTGAGTGGTCTGAGTGGTCTGAGTATGATTGGAAAAATCAGAACTGGTGCTTTTCCGGGAAAACAGCTGAGATTTCCGTGATTTGAGCAGTGTTCAAAACCCTTGTTGTACTATCCCCCCCAAAAATTGGGGGAACCAGCCGAGATTTCCCATTAAAAAACCGGGGGGGGTGTTCAGCTGACCCGTAGGCTGACATGCTTCGAGCTGGGCCTGGGCCTGGGAGAGCCAGGGAGCTGCGAGTGGGGGATCACCGTTCGCTGCGACCAGTGCGACCGAGGCAAGGCCATCCAAACATCGTACGCTTCTTGGGGCTTTGGGCCGATCCAACCACACTGGAGTCCAAGGTTGGCTGCCCCTCCAGTTGCCAAAGAAAGAGATTGTTTTCAGGAGTTTGTTTGAAGATTCAGCCTGGGTGTGAGAGTTCGAGATAGAAAATATATGAAAATATGATCTCACAACTTGGAATCAAGAGACTTTTCCGGGAAGTTTCCTTTCAGAACATAGCAGGGAGATCTTGGAAAGCAGTGTCACGCTCCAACAAAGGTGAGGTAGTCCCATCAAGTCCCATCAAAGTAGCCATCCAATGGGCTAAATCCCCAATTTTCATTTTTTCTGGGAGAACCCCAACGGCCCAACAAAACCTTTCTATTCTTTCCATTACTTTCCTGTAGAGTCCGTCGCAACTCGCACAACGTGCCAGAGCGGTTTGCAATGGTACATGGTCATGGACTATTTCAAGGGCGACTTGCATCTGGACCAAATGGAGTCGCTGTCAGCCATTTCCCTTCAGCTGTTGGGTTGACGTGTCCATTTCTCTCATTTCTCCCACCATTTCTCCTTCCTGTGACAATGTCTTTGCTTCTAAGAGTTTTGACGCGACATGTGTTGCCTGCTGGTGCTGCGATTGGTTCCTCGGCTCTGAGGTACGATCGAATTGTGGAGAGTCGACGGCTCCGAGAGAAGGAGACGTCCGCTCGAAATCCGTCGGCCGATGTTGGCCGTTCGGTGTTGTTTTTTCATGTGGAACCACCGTGGCCAGGAGTGCGTTCCCATTTTACACAATATTCTATCGGCGTTTCTGGCTCAGAAACCAGTGGAGGGCGTGGATCTCATAGAGTGAATCAAGGATCATAAAGGTCGATAATCTGGTCTTAGACTAGACGTTGCCATGATGTGCTTTGCAAGATGGTGGGCTTCTCACACTGACTACGGCTAAATAAAATGTACAAAATTGACTGAAAAGCATTGGAGGGCATGTCATAGACATAGACAAATGTTCGTGTTGTTTGGAATTGTTTGTTTTGTTTGGAAATGGTCAAAAGTCATGCGGAATTTTCATACCGGTTGGTTTTTCACTTCGGTGCTTGCCCCTGTCTCTGAGGATTGTTTTCCTGCACAACCGTCAAATTTTTCACAGGCTTGAGTATCTCATTGTATTAAGCACGCAAACCAAATGCCCTTGGTTACAGTTATATAATGCCGTTGATATCTCGTGACTGTATTGATTTCAGTTGCCCTTTCTGTTTTCTATTGTTTTGCTGGCGTAGTAATCCAGCAAGTCATCTTTGCATTGACCCAGCACTTTCCAGCTGGGCTGGGCTTGTTGCGATGTCATGAGAAAAGACCGAATAGGCCCAGATCTTCAGGGTATCAGACTGGAACTAGACGTAGAGTTGTATATAGTGAGTTGTATGTGGTTCATTGTTTCTTACCTGATCTTTTTATATCTTTTTTGTTTTCCGTAAACCGCGCGGATTGCTCCGAAGGGACATCAAACCAGAGAATTTGCTCATGGACACAGCAGCCCGAGTAGTTGTTGCCTCAGTTGCCTCCATGGTAGTTGTTTCAGCTCTGATGGAGGTATAATTAAGAGGTGCCGGTAGCACCAGGTGAAATCACCACAAAGCGCAGCTGGGTAAATTGCCCGGCGTAGATTTCCCTTCAAGAACTATATAGTTGAGATCACAAAACCCAGGATTTCACTCACAACCCCAGTGCCGGGAACGGCTAATGCAGTCACTATGGCACAACAATGTGAATGATACGAATCGCACAACGAGGGGCCCTGTTTTGATCCACAACACTTGCCGTAGTCATGGGAATGAAGAACCAAGGTTACTTGGGTACGAATGACAAATTGCACCCCCCCGCGGGTCCATTGTCCAAGATTCGTTTCGCCGGTTTCCTCTCCGTTGGTGGTGTTTTCCATGGGACCTATGCCGGCCTTCTTTCTGTTTCGGCCAGACCTCATCAAGGGATCGTCAATGATCCTCCATACCTGACCTAAGTGGTAAAACCTTTGCAGCTGTTGTTGTTCGGAATCTTTTGTCAAGCTGTTCGCCAATTGTGCGTCACTGTGCACCCACCTAATTGGCATGTGTGTACGCGCTTGCTTCTTTGAGACCTATAAGCTCCATTGCAGTTCTAAACTCAGGCCCCTTTGGAACGCACACATCGTTTTTCATTCTGTCATGTATGTTGGTTGAATCGGTAACCAACACTGCTGGAATCTGAGCCACCGACTCCTCAGTTTTCCTGACATTCACTGGGTGCCCGAGCATTTCGAACACCTGAAGTCTCACTCCAAAGAGTGCGTCCTCACAGTTGATTGCTGCAAGAGCTTCCGAAGCTCCCGGGGATCAACACTGACACTCAATTTTGGCCGAGCGCCAAAACACTGGACTTACCTTGCACATCTCTCCAGACAAAAGACTTTGGTGGGTGATTCCTATGAATATCCCCTGCGTACTCTTACCATCCGGTCTATTCAAGGGGGAAGCATCCGACCACCCAGCAACCAAAAGATCCCTGACCCTAAGATCACCATGAACCTTCAAGACATGAGATTTGTCACATCGTGTCCTATAAATCAACTTGTTGATTTCCAGCATGGTTCCAACTGTGCTGTCCCGTACTTGTGAGAGAAGCAAACTGACTGCAGCTGACAAGTGTGGTCTCGATTGTTGAGCGCACCAAGACAAAGCTCCTATAATGCAGCTCTTATCTTCGTCTTCTCAAACTCTGTTGTCAGAGCCTTTGGCTCCCGACATCTTTCTGCAGAAGTGCAAATCTCCTTGATCTCATCGATATACTGGCTCTGAGACAACTCGAAGCCACCATCTGGAGTACGTTCGATGCGAACTCCGCACTGAACGAACTGGTCCTGTTCCCAAGTTCGCCATTTGAACTTGTTTCTGATATTTTCACCAGAGTTGTTTCCACTCCGCACATTCTTCGCGGCCACAAAACAAGAAGTCGTCCACATGTCCTGATATCACAGTCCTGCGAGATCCCCTTTAGAGTTGACATACTTAAAAGCAGCATGGGTCAGTGACACAAGGAGTGAATCCTATGGACACCAAGTACTCAGACACCGTTAAGAACCATTCTAACGGGGCATCCACTAAGCCGTAACATGCCTTCTTAAGCTCCGTCACGGATCCAACAGGAATCCCAAGTGCAGCGCATATCTCATCGGTGGGTATGACATACGCATCATGTTGATACTCACGACCCTGAAGAAACGCGCCTGACACATCTCCTTTGGACACCCTCATCTTGAGAGCTGTGGCAAGACCAAGAAGGACTTGACGTGTTGTCCGCGACATGGTCGGAGCCATCGTTTGACGGCTCTCATAGTGAGGATCTTGATAACCCAGGACTAAGCACCTAGCTTTTGGAGATCTAGTTCCATCATCCCCCTTTTTCCAGGTCAGAACCCATCTCATTTTCATTGCCACCTGTTTGCTGGGTTGCAAATGTGGGGGCAAGCACTTAAGCGCGTCCGCTCCTATGAATTTCTTGACCTCTTCCTGTTTGGCCGTTTGCATGAGTTTCAATTCCTCGTCATCCATGTTTCTTTCAGACACCTCTACGCCTCTACGCCTCAGTTGACTGGACAAAAAGGATTGAAAGTTATTCACCCCTGATGGACTCCGGCAAAGGAATCTCCACTTCCACTGCCGCTGATGCTGAACTCCAGAAACATTCAGCCTAATGGTCCTGAAATCCTTCCTGCAGTTCTTCTGAAACTAAGTGCCCGAACTGATCGCTCTCTTCTAAGCCCGACACCTCTCTACTAGGCCTCGGACATTCTGGCACTGCCCTCTTTCGCCTGACTGGCCGCAACGGCGGCGCCTGCTCTTCCTCACACGCCTGCTGAAATTCCATTGGAGCAGGCACTTGGTCGGTCAAGTCATCAAACTGGTGAGCACCTAAGTCCTCAGTCAACTTTGTCATGGTCCATGGTAAGTCCGGTGGATTTGTTATTTCTTTCATGTATTCTTCTCGAACTGACGCCCGGCGCAAATGTGCCGGACATGCCTTGATCAACCTTGAGCCTCTAATCAACCACACCACTGAACCTGGCCTGTAGTTGCCTTCATCAGTCAATTTAGTTTCAGTGGCAAGAACTCGACATGGACCTCTGAAACCTCCTCGTCGGGACGCAGCGGCTGGTCCTCGTGTCCCAGCTGGCACCTGTACTCTCCAAACAAACACTAAGTCCGCAGGTGCAAACATTTCCAGTTTGTGGCTTCTCGTGTGTGTTTTTTTTTCAGTCGTTCTGTAGCGACAAACTTCGTCATCGCTTGTTCCGCTCTCTTCATCCTTTCAACATTACGTCGGAAGTCCCCATCCGGATTTTCACACAGAACCTCCGGGACTCCTCCATGTCTCGGCTCATCAAAACGCCCAGACAAATCTGGTGCCCTACCTAGAGCATGTTGTGCTGGCGAGAGAGCCCTGACGATTTCCCTTTCATTTTCAGTTCTGAGGGCCTCTGAGAGTGCCTCTTCGGCGCTCATTTCTGGTTCCCTCCATGCCAGTTTTGTCATGATCGCTTTGGTGCAATCGATGGCTCGCTCTACATGACTTATTCCCCAGTGTGCCTCCGCAGGAATATTATCGTATTCAATCCCTTCATGGTTCATGTATTCCACCACATCGTTTGCACGCCATGCCCCAGCCGGATCAGGATCAACCCTAATCTTTCGGGGTTTCCCAAAAACCGGTTTCCATCCCTCTTGGTAGTACCGAATCAGCTGAGCCCCACTTATTCCTCCATCCCCTTTTACCATAACTTTACCCACTCTAAACCTGCAGCCTTCATCAATCATGAGAGTGAACTGAGCCGTTTCCAAAGTATGGGGATGTCTCCAAAACGCGTTGTCGGCCTGAACAGCGGCCCACTTTGGTGGTGTAGGCTCCAGACTGACCTGTGGTCTAGGGACCCGACATTTAAGCTCCTGACAAACTGGACACTGAAAGTTCCGAGCCAAGTCCACAATTCTAGGATCCGTGCGCCTAGCTTCCAGGGCACGCACCAAATGTTCCACAGGACTGTGTCCCGTGTTTCGGTAAAACACGGAAATTTTGTGAAGATACCGATTGGGCTCCACAGTCAAAGGTCCATGCATGACGACATCCTCTCCTACCATGCTTACATGCTCATGTTTCTCCTTGCCAAGTTCGCACACATGACGCTGCAGTTCACTTTTTGGGGTGTTGACCAGCTCGCACGTGCATTCTTTGGGGAAGCCCTTAAGGTGGTTATCCTCTTTACCGAACCCCTTCATTTCATGGAAAAGACCCTTGCTATCAAACTCGTGAAGCATGGCGCGACATGCACGTTTTGCGAAGTCCTTAGTGTAGTATGCCGACATGCGTGTCAAATGTCCTTGGCACAAAACATGTCTTTCCTGACGGCGACAGGGCAAGCTTGCAGTGTGTGGTGGCAAGTTTCCATCCTTTTCCAAGCAGTCCCTTAGTTTTGGGATCCATCAGTTGAACGCGACAACCCTTGGTGACAACCATGTGTGGCTGGAACTTTCAAAAAACTCTCTGTACCATGGGGAGACGCCGCGCGTCGCATGTTTCGGACCATTCCCAAGTTGCAGAAACCCCTTTTGTGATACCCTCAACTACTGAGGGTCTAATATACGTGGCCCTTGGGGATTTCCGAATGGAGAGTCTAGACTGGTGCCCAAATCATTGTAGACCTTTGTGTTGGTTTCATAGTAGACCTTTGGCTTGTACGTCCGTATTTTCACGTTAGACCCTGCGAGCTTTAGACATTTTTTTTGACATTGGGAAATCCATGTCAGACCTTTTGCCAATATCTTATATGTTCAAATGGATTTATCCTAGAACATAGTTGGACATGTATCTGCCCTTCTCTGCGTCTCTTTTCCTGAGGTCTGCATCTGTTCAATGCTTCCGAAGCACTTCGATCTTCAACTGCTCTGACTCCGAAGTCTCCCCGAAGCTCAGCATGCAGCACATTGCGCTCCATCACGTCCAAGCCTGAGTCCATGAAGAGATGCGGATGAAGTTGGGAAGGATTTCAGGCAACTGGTGCTTGCCCCACTCACTCGTGTCAGGCCCTTCCCAACTGCCATGTCTCCTCCCCCACGACCAGGACTGGTAGTTCCACCAGCCGCTGGACCAAGAGTCCCACTCTTGATTGGACCACTCATCTTGCCGGCTCTCCTGCTCTTCTTGGTCTTCCACAGGGGGTTGGAAGTCGTTGGCTTCCACTCCATCATCTGCCTGGCTGCTCGTGGACTTCCTCATGGACGTTGCACTGGGCTGTTCTCTTCTCACACGTCCTGAGGTCCTGAGACTCCTTGATACCTGGCCATGGACTGCTGTGCTCTCGTGTAGGCCTCAGCCTTTCTGAGGATGAAGTCCCCCATGCTCTCGCCACGGTGCCTTCTCGTGCCGTTGAAGTACTTCTCAGCATGCGCAACTCGGACATCTCTGGCACCTTTGGTTGCCCTCTCTCACTTCTCAACGCTGCTATGAGCTTTCTCACTCCTCCTTCTTGTGACAGCCAGTCTGCTGACCTACCTATCAGGACCCTCCTGGCTGGCCTTTGTAGTTTGGCCGCTACCCTTGGCCCACATAGGTACCGCTTCTCCTTCACCACGGTCTGCTCATAGAGCAGGCATGCCTCCACATATTCCTCGAAGAGAGAGGACTCTCCCGACCATATGGGAACTCCATCTTTGTTTCTCTGCACCCCATGACCTCCGGTGCTACCAGCCCTGAGTACCACATCTCATACCTCATCATCCTGGAGCTTCTCACAAGGCTCCGCTACCGTGCCGGTAGCACCAGGTGACATCACCACAAAGCGCAGCTGGGTAAATTGCCCGGCGTAGATTTCCCTTCAAGAACTGGTTGAGATCACAAAACCCAGGATTTCACTCACAACCCCAGTGCCGGGAACGGCCAATGCAGTCACTATGGCACATAATGTGAATGATACGAATCGCACAACGAGGGGCCCTGTTTTGATCCACAACACTTGCCGTAGTCATGGGAATGAAGAACCAAGGTTACTTGGGTACGAATGACAAATTGCAAGAGGTATATAGAATGGGTTGTCGCCCAGATGCCGCCGACCCCCTTTTATGTGCCGCAGCCATTTCCCCTTCCGCACGGCCGTGTCCGCAGGGCGTCCAGGCCGATACAAAGAGGTTTGCGGGACCCATTGCGGCCTGTATAGAAAAGCCTTCGAAAGCTGCAGCGGATGGTTTTAAGAGGTCACTAAAACGTGCCACGTAGGAGTTTGCAATTCGAGAGCTGCAGAGGCCGCAGCCTTGGTTCGGAGCCTTCGAAAGCTTCTGCGATAGGTTTCGAGCTTTTGATGCTTTTAAAGAGCGCATAAAACGTGCCACGTAGCAGTTCCGAAACTCCGTAGGGCCACTTTGCGGGGCCTAGGGAGGTACCATGGTACCGTACAGAAGAGCCTTCGAAAGCTTCTGCGGAAGGTTTCGAGCTTTTCGAGGCTTTTCAGAGCGAATAAAACGTGCCACATCCCAGTTTCGAAACCCAATAGAAACACAGTTTGCGGGGCCTAGGGAGGTAGCATGGTGCGGTATAGGGGAAATAGAAGCACAGTTTGTGGGGTGTGGGGAGGTACCATGGTGCCGCATAGAAGAGCGTTCGAAAGCTGCAGTGGACGGCTTTGAGGTTTTGACGCTTTTAAATATTATCCTAAAACGTACCACGTAGTAGCAGTTTCCAAACTCAATAGAAACAGTTTGCAGGGCCTATAGGGGCCCATGGTACCGTACAGAAGGGCGTTTGAAAGCTGAAGCCGACGGTTTTGAGCCTTTGAAGCTTACGTCGCAGTTTCGAAATCTAATAGAAACAGTTTGTGGGGCCTAGGGGCGTACCATGTTGCCGTATAGAGGAGCCTTCGAAAGCTGCAGCGGAAGGTTTTGAGCTTTTGAAGCTTTTAAAGGTGCCGAAAACGTGGGTGGAGCCACAGCCGATGCCGCACAAGCTTCTGTTTCGAGACCCAATAGAAACAGTTTGTGAGGGCTGGGGGGTGGGCGCGGCCTTGGTTCGGCGCTGCAGTGGAGGATTTTGAGCTTTTGAGGTGCCGAAAACGTGCCACGTAGCAGTTTAGAAGCCCAATAAACACAGTTTGCAGGGCCTAGAAGCAGCGTATTTGGATGCGAAAGCAGGCACAGGTGGAGCCACAGCCGATGCCGCACAAGTTTCTGCGGATGGTTTTGAGCTTTTGAGGCTTTTAAAGGGTGCCAAAACGTGCCACGTAGCAGTTTTGAAATCCAATAGAAACACTTTGCGAGGCCTAGGGACGTACCCTGGTGCCGTATAGGGGAGCTGTCGAAAGCTGCATTGAAGCGTTTCAAGCCACGTAGCAGTTTCGACGTGCCACCTAGCAGTTTGGAAGCCAACAGAAACAGGTGCTTCGAAAGCTGCAGCGGAAGATTTTGAGCCCCGAAAACGTGCCACGTAGGAGTTTCGACGTGCCACGTAGCAGTTTCGAAGCGTAATAGAAACTGTTTGTAGGGCCTAGGGCCTAGGGGGGTACCATGGTGCCGTATGGAGGAGCCTTCGACAGCTGCAGCGGAGAGTTTTGAGCTTTTAAGGCTTTTAAAGGTGCCTAAAGCGTGCCACGTAGCAGTTTCGAAACCTAATAGAAACAGTTTGCAGGGCCTAGAAGCATGCCAAAGCTGTCCAGGTGGAGCCACGGCCCATGCCGCACACCTACCGTGATCCCAAGCGCCGCCTCGCCTAGGCCAAGGTCGGCGGATATCTATTAGAAGTCTGGCACACACACCCCCCGAAAGACATCCAGATATGCATTCCATACCTAGTCTTGGTTGCATCCCCGCTAGAAAGTCACTAGAGCAGTTCATATACATCCATGCGTGTTGGATGTCGGATTGGATGATATTAACTTGCCAAGTACGGTAGATGTCCCTAGATGTCCCGAGTTTTTGTTGGTTAGCGATTAGCGTCCCCAGTTGTTGTTTGTTCATATCATGGAGCTGGTTCGTAGAGTCCATATGGATGTTTATTAGCCAACATTTAGTAGGATGGGATATGATGGGATGTGATGGGATATATTATATTATATTATATTATATTATAGTTTTCAAAAATAATACAAGCGGTGTATGTCCAGTCAGTTTACCATTGCAGTTTACCATAGTATATTTCCCAGCCACTATAGTTACCCCTCGGCAATCAAACATGGCTAGCTGGGAAATCCCCATCGAACATGGAGGTCTTGTAAAATGGGTACTTCACCTATAAATGATGGATTTTCTAGCAAGCCATGTTTGAATACCTTCGGGCACAATCCAAGTATTGTACCAACTATTGTACCAGTCATTATCCCAATTATTATCCCAATTATTATCGCACTAATTATCCCGATTATTATACCGATTATAATCCCTAAAAACAGCATCCCAATTCTTATCCCAAAGGTTTCAACCAAGGTGGTGCAAGATTCTATCCACAGCCTCCTTATTTGGCCCAGGTTCTCACAGACTTTGGCATTGCCTGCCTGGTCACTGACCGGGCGGAGCTGAAGCGAACAGCTCCTTGGCCGACGTGATACACAGAAACACAGACGTACGAATCGTCCACCAGACGATGGTACTGTGTCTGTATACTGCATAGAAGTATAAGTTATACAGTATACATATATATATATAATATATATATATATAACATCTATGAGTCTATCTATCTGTCTGTCTATCTATCAATCAATCAACCAATCAATCAATCTATCTTTCAGTCTATCTATCTATCTATCTACCTATCTATCTATCTATCTAGCTAGCTAGCTATCTACCTATCTATCTATCTATCTATCTATCTATCCATCCATCCATCCATCCATCCATCCATCCATCCATCCTCTCGTGTTCCATGTTCCGTGCTGCTACCCCCTCCATGGTATGGATCCCCAGGTAGCACCCCTTCCCTTCTATTTGCAAGCTATTGGCAGCATTTCTGAGGTCCAGCCTTGTATTTGCTAGGTCTTTGCAGCATTTCTGGCTACCAGCCTCAGATTTACATATCCTCAAGTTGGAAGGCTCTAGAATGGGGGCCCCCATAGGGATGACGAACCGGGGTTCTAAAATGGAAAAAAACCATTGTAGAACCCTTGGTCACGTAAGCTTTGTAGAACTTTGGAAGTTTGTATAATAGTATATGATGATGTATGGTGCAGGTTTTGTGCAGGTATTGGTGATCCCTAGTGAGCCGGTGGTTGAAAGCAATTTGCAAGTTTGATCCTCCTGTTGAAACCATGGTTTATGATGGTTTACAAGGCTCGATTGCACTTTGTCGGACAATAGCGCTGAACCAATGCCATTTGGCACCAAAAAACAAAAAAGGTAATATACAGATACACGGCAGAAAATTGACAAATTCACAGTTCAGTTTGTTGCTTGATTTCTGGTGAGAACATTTCCGACTGGGGGAACTTGTGTGTTCAGCTCAGTTTTGAAGTGGGTAGCTGTACCTTTACCTTTGCACTAACAATAACAATGTCTGTTTTTGTTTTGCATGTTTGCTTCTTTTGCCAGCACCTGAGGCACACAAAAAGTGGTTTTTGCATTATTTTACAGAAGAAGCCGTAAAATCCCGCGTCGGAAATTTACGTGCATTTGCTGGGCATTTGCATGCATGTGGGTTGTTTTTTGATTTAATTCCGAAAAGGCGTGGGTCAAATATTGTTCAGCTCAGCATCTCTGAAAGAGAGGGCCCAATAGGTGAAATGAACGGCAGATTGGTAGGTAGAAATTTTCACCAATTGGGAAGAGCTGTAGTGACAGACAAATGAACTTCAGGGATAATCAAGTCAGCTAAAACTGCTTCTGCCAGCCTTTGTTATTGTACAAGTAGGGCAATCCCTGTGCAGCAAATGAACATATCTAAGTTTTCGAAGCATACACATGTTCCGAAATGGTTTCCCCTTGCAGTAGCTGGTGCCTCACACGTTGGCCAAGCAGGAAACCATTCCTGAACCCTTCCCAAAGATAAACACCTCCAGGGGTAGGTAGACAGGTACAACCCAATGCCAATGAATTTCAGGGAAAACCAAGTCAGGTAAACCTGTTTCTGCCATCTTTTGTTCTTGTACAAGTAGACCAATGCCTGTGCAACAAATGAACATATCTAAGTTATCTAAGCACACAAATGTTCTAAAATGGTTTCCCCTTGCAGTAGCTGGTACCTCACACGTTGGCCAAGCAGGAAACATTCCAGAACCTTTCCCAAAGATAAACCCTTCTAGGGGTAGGTAGACAGGTACAAGCCAATACCAGTGAATTTCAGGGACAATCAAGTCAACTAAAATGGTTTCTGCCATCTTTTTTTCTTGTGCAAATAGACCAATGCCTGTGCAACAAATGACCATATCTAAGTTATTTAAGTTATCTAAGCATACCAGTAGTACCGCACAA